TAATCCTGAGGGCAGACCTGTGTGTGTGTGTGTGTGTGTGTGGTGTGTGTGTGTGTGTGTGTGTGTGTGTGTGTGTGTGTGAGTGTATGTGTGTGTGTGTGTGTGTGTATGTGCTTGTGTGTGTGTAAGAGAGAGAGAGTGTGAGTGTGTGTGTGCTCTGCTGCAGTGCCCTCAGCTGTGTCCACATATGTGTTTGGGATGATATAAGCAGGCGATCCTCTGCTAAGCTAACACCTGTACATTTAATATTATTTAACTCCTGCAGATTCTAAACACAGCGTGCGTGTGGGTGTGTGTGTGTGTGTGTGTGTGTGTGGGTGTGTGTGTGTGTGTGTGTGTGTGTGTGGGTGTGTGTAATGAGCAGTGACTGACAGGCTGTTATTATTTGGTCAGTGTGATGAATTATTTTCTCAGAGGTCAGAGGGAAGTTAAGTGCTGATTGGAGTTTTACACAGGAGATATGAAGATGTAAATAGATTTATGGAGATGTTTGCTGAGTCTTTACTCGCCATTAGGATGATAATGACTACAAGACAAACCTGGATGTACTGTTTTCATCTAAAAACTCATTAACTCAATCAGTTACGGCGGACTGTCCCTCCATGCAGTTTTGTTTCCTTAATGCCCAGTAGGAAAGGACAGGTTCTCCATTTGAATTTTAAGAAAGTCGGCAAAAGAAAGTCAGTGTGTGTTTCCATTAACAAAGTGATGCAATCAATGGAGACAACAAACTAAATGACAAAAACAGGTCGTTTGTCACTTTTGTCTGAGATAGCCCATTAGAGCTTTGTCTGATTCAGTGCTCCAGTCATCAGGGTGACGTTTGCTTGTTTGTCAGTGTCTCCTAAAATACAATAGACCTTTCTTTCTGCTCCGCCGCCGAGAAAAGTTCAACATTCAGGGACATACACTCATTTTTTTAAAAAGCCTTTTAGAAAGCCTCTAGTTTGTTGTGTTCAAGTGTTGTGGTAGTTTGAAAATTAATTTCTGATTTCTTAGATAGATACTTTATTGTGTCCAGTAGCTCATCAGTAATAATAATACTAATAATAGTTAATAATAAATAATAAACAATAATAGGTAAATTAGTCCATGATCCACTTCCTGTGGCTGAGGTGTTGTATAGCGTGATGGCAGTGAGAACAAAGGATCTCCTGAACCTCTCTGTTCTGCAGCACAGTGAGATGAGACGTTTGCTGCAGCTGTAGCTGCTTCTCTGTCCTGCCAGAATGTTGACCAGTCCAGTTTACTGTCCAGGTCCACACCTAGGTACTTATAAGTGTGCACCACCTCAATGTCCTTCGCTCGAATGTTGACTGATGATTCGAGATTGAGGGAGGTGATTAGCTTAGCTTAAACCCGTATCAAAGCAGTACTGTAAAAGTGACCGTTTGTGCCTTTAAAGCGTGGTGCTGTTACTATTTCTTTAGCTGCTCATCCACCTGCCCAGTACTGCATCTGGCTTTTGTTCTCTAGTCTGTACAACTAGTTCCAGCACGTAAACTCCACCACAAATGAAACAAATGAGATGAACTATTATTGAATTATTGAGCTTTAGATGTATAAACAAGTGTATTTTTTCACTTTGGAAAGAGCTAGGCCAGCTCATTCCCCCTGCTTCCAGTATCTATGCTAAGCTAAGCTAACCTTGTCCTGACTCCAGTTCCATTGTTATCCTACCAACATGAAAAAACAATTGATCTTTAGTTCTTTAGTTCTTTCTTAAAGTGTTGAACTGCTCCTTTAAGACTTGGTTAAGTTTAATGGCAAGAAGCCAGTGTTAGCAGGTGGAAGAAGACAGGATGCAACTAGCAGTCCCCATTGTCAACGTCGGACACTCTCTAGGCCCAACCATCAACTGTGGTGGCACTATGACAACTTCAAAATACTTCTGCTTTCTGCTTGAGTGGGTAGTAATTATTTTCACTGTAACAAGAGGTGCATTTTATGTGTCTGTCACAAAAACCAGTACTGTCATCTTTCTGCTGAGGACCGTCTCAACAGAGTATCTGTATCTCTGACATATTATGGAATATGGATCTTATTGCTGCTTCTCAACTAATCTGGAATTTAGATTAAATTGTTTCCTCTGTCCACATGCAGCATCTGGATCTGGTTTTGGTTCTTAAAACCACAAATGTATCTTCTTATACAACAGTTAGTTCCAACCAAATAATTTGATTGGATGAGAGTCATTCCATGAGTGCTGAGTGCTGAGTGCTGATATAAAGTACAACAGCACTGGGACTTTTAACCACACGTAACCTCCGCTTCACAGGTGTTCTATTAACCATTCATTAGCGTTACATTGACGGCCGTTATCTATCTTAGATTGTAACAAACTTTGCAAAGATAAAAATATTTCCAGAAATAACATTTGAATTAAATGATGTGTGGTCATCAGAGGAGGATGAAGGGAAGACGCCTGGATACTTCAGCACACACCTGAGGTAACGTGTAGACAGAGTAGAAAACTAGTGTGCACTGTGCAGGTCAGGAAAATGTTAATGTCTTACTTAGCAACAGTCCAGTACCAGTGCAGTTGTGGAACTCTTTGTGTTGGGTTAACCAAATAAATGATAAAATAAACAAACAAATCATAATCTGTTGTTGCTTATTTAAATAATATGGCGCTCAGAAAACACTCAAGGTCATGGCTGTGATTCGGTCATAGGTACAAGGCCACAGGCCGAGTACCGAAGACAAGTCGTACTGATATTCAGGACATCACTCCCTCTCCTGTGATATTACTTAATTATAGATCAACACTTCAAATAGAACACTGGAAAAATGTAAAATATTGACCATTAACTAACATGTTTACGTTTTTAGCATCTGATATTTCCATTTACATTGCCAATTCAAAATGTGCATGAGACATAGAATGGAATTACATTAGTGATAAGTGGCATAATGTGCTTTCCAAGTGAATTTGAGGAAAGGCTGCAAAAAATAAGCAGGTGTAAAAATGATTCTTGATTTGGACAAATGCTCCAGTCACACACTACAGAAGAATTTGGGATTCCAGAGATTTTGAAAGTAGATAAACTGAAACTCTTGTAAATCTGAGCTGTAACACTGTGACACAAACCCTCTGGTTATTTTTGAAAGAAAGTGAAATCAACACAGATGGTTAAAACCACTAATAAAAGAGATTTTAGAAATTATTTAAAAGATGATACAGTGTCTAAGCAACTTAATACAGATAAAGTCACTGTTATATGTTATAGTATTATATGTTATATGTACTCTTCACTTTAAACCGGTGAGTATCCTGATGCCATAGACTTTTCACTCCTCTGGGTTCCTGTTCCGTTTCCATCCAGTCTGTCGCTTCTCAGAGTGGTTTTATTCAACAAGACTCTGCAGTCCTGCTTTGTGATTTATCTCAGGAATAAACAATCGAGCAAAGTAGCACAGGAGCTCCTGCGTGGAGGAGTAACAGTCAGAACATTAAATTGGAAAGATCAGATCTCATTTAATGGCAAATTAATCCATGAAAAAACAGAAGCTGCCTGATCTCTGCAGGTGAAGTCATAGAAAGAAAGAGCTCTGCTTATAGTTTTCTGTTTGTTCTCCGCTCTGATGAACGCCAGCAGGCCACAACAGTCTGGTTTACTTTAACTGTTGTGTAATCAATGAACTGATCAAAAGAAAAAAAATCATTAAATGTTCCCACAACAGCTAATAATAAAAAGAGGAACCAAAATTTTACTTTCACCCCCATTTCCTAAACAGTGAAAAGTCTGCACTAAACCCAAAGAACCACAAACATCGTCTACTGTCTTTTATCTGCAAATGTAACATGTTCCCTGTTCAACTCGGTCAACATACAGATTTTTGAAACAGCCTTGTTCAAAGAGTAACAAGGGGATGTCTTGCAGTGCAAAAAATACATTTTAAGTATTACATTCCAGTACGAGTAATCTATTAAGTCTTAGGCTACATCCACACAAATACGTTTTCATTTTAAAATGAAAACCATCTCTGTCCAGGAGACTGTTTTGGTCTGTATCAGAAATAATCTCTGCCCATACTAACACACCTGAAAACACAGGACACCTGACCATTAACGTAAACTGGGTATACTGACTACACGTACTGGTGTAAAGAGGAAGCAAATTTTCTACTCTGCAGTTGGTTAAATACTACGACTGAGGAACAGCAAAGACAGTTGTAGAGTTAAAATGCAGAATTTAACTGAACAGCTGCTAGCAAAGACAACAAGGTCAGTAACGCTTATACTTTGTTATCCATGTTGCTTTCACCACTGATCGCCATGACTGATAAAACCCAATCAGGAGGTGAGCATCGTCGTTTCCAAAGGTCTCCGTTTCTGCCCGTCCAGACTACAAAGCAGCCCCGGAGTTTATAAACCACAATGGATCCCGCAGCGTTTCCAAAAGTCTTTTCGTCACTCGAAAACTGGAGTAGTGTGGGCACCAGGAGTAAACATAGCAACAGTGAGGCATTTTAATGCGTTTTTCGTTGTGAAAGAAGCAATAAAATCTGCTGGTTAAGTGAAGTAATTTCAGTTTCTTCCAATACAACTCAAATATCTGATTGTGCTTGATTCAAGATTTGATCAAGCAAAGTTATGTCGTTTTCAGCTTATTTTAACAGTGATATAAAATGTGGTTCAGGATCCATAGAGCAGAATGGTCACTGAGATATTAAGACCTTTAGTCAAGAGATGGATCCTACATTTCCCATGAGGCAACAGTTTTTCATTAGATCCTAGTTCAAAGGGATTTCATCCAAATCGGAGCAAGTATCTGCTCATTAATTTTCATGGAGATCTGCGCATTAGACTATGAATAATCATGTAAAACTGATACTTTGTCATGGGTGTGGTGGTACATGGAGTGGTCCATCCTCTGCGGAGCATGAATGAGCTCAGTCAGAACATAAAGCATTAGTTATGTTTGTAATGCCATCCTTGTTTTGATTTGTGTCGCAGTAACCTCTCTACTTTAGTAAATCTGTGAACTGCTCCTTACCTGCCATGTCAGTGGCGAAGGGTCTGTCCGGTCTCCAGCCGGTGTACCAGCCCACAACTTTACCCCCAGACACCAAGGGGCGCTCATACGCTCGGCCACCCACGAATCCCACAGGCCAAACTGACACACCTCGAGTGCTGCGCATCTGCAAATAAAAGAAGGAGAAAAAAATGTGGTTCAGATATGACATACGAAACTGCAACCACCAGAGCTGATTTACAGTACAAGTTTCAAACTTAAAGATGGCGGATAGATTCACATGAAACAGCCACATTAAATAAAAAGCTAAGACAGGTTAGAGAAATGAATTTGCTTGTTTTTGGTGTAAACATCCAGCAATGGGGAACAGTCTCCTGTGTGATGAACTGAAACCTGACAAAAGCCATTTGACAGTTGTGTTATTTTAAAACAGCAGGAGTCAGAGCTGCTCCCACATCGTCCTCTGTGTGTGTTGGTGTAGTAATGACAGCAATCTAAGGCCACGCTGCTCGCTGCGCCACATTCAATTCTCCTGTCAATGAGGATGCCAAGCGAAACAGATGTGATGACTGAGCCTGCGAGGAGACATCCCCCCTGAGAGGGTGCAGTAAAGGTGAAGACCCCAGAAAGTCAGTGACCAGGCTTGTGACACTGATTCTCAAATGAATGACTTGTGTGTCAGTTTGCATGTGTGATTTAGAGGATCTCTCATTTCACCTGAAATCTCTAGTTTCACCTGAAGTGTGGGTGAGAGTAGCATGCAGAGAGTCTGTGGCTAACTGAATACAGCACTAAATGAAACTGTGCGGCACGATGCTGCCTTACATTTTCACAGTGAATGAATTTGCACATAGCCAGAAGCAGTGCAACGGGAAATAAGACAGCGAGAGAGCAAGATAAAAGACAGAGAGGGGGGGGGGG